TCACACCGTAAGGGAACATGGATTGGTGGTGTCTGATAGCCAAGTGCTAATTAAATAAATAAAGGTGTCCCTAGATTATAATTAGTTAAGCAGTATACCGTAAAGACACATTGTGGAATGGAGGTATAGCTCCACCATTCGTAACCTTGTCATCAGATGGTAAGTGGTCAGTGTCACAACCCTGCCGCTGTACACCTGATGAAACAGCCACAGCATCAATTTTATAATTGGCTGGGTGAGCCCCAGAGACAGTCTGGACATCATGGAGAAGACAAAAATCTCTTATCTGTACCACCAATGAACCACTAGTCTCTGTCTGATAGTAATATGTGAAGTGTAGTCACGAGCTGTAAAAGTTGTGCAATAAATCCATTTATCAATCCAAAATCCGGTTATAGTCACCTAACGCGCGACATTTTTATAAAAAAAAAAGTAAGTAAATGTATCCCAGTTACAGGCCGTGGATTTTCATAGGGTTGTGAGATGTTGAGGTTCTCACATTTTCTAGACAATCGGCTCATATATTCCTGGTATTCATATCTGTTGGAGGCTGAGTCAACCCCAGGGCCATATTGCGGCTGGAAGGATTAGGTCAACTGAAAAAAATCCAGTGACCTCATCGGGACTTAAACCCGCGACCTTCCGGGTTGTAGCATAGTGCCTCAACCGCGACAGTATTATTAACAATGATATTATAAAGAGTAGGGGCATTTGTGTTACAATTCCTTGGAGTTAGGAAAGAGCCCGACGTTTTGGAGGAGCATACATCTCCATCATTCATTGCGCTTACAACACGACACCCTCTATCCTCGAAAGTTGGTACTAACTTCGCCGACAAGCGGTGGTAGCTCTGTCGGTATAGTTCGCTTGCGGAATGAAACCACTTAGTTTTTATATATCCTCAATCTACACCAGCCGTGCAAATATGCGGTCCCCATAGCCACAAAGTGCGGCCCCTCAACTTTTAGACCTAATTGATATTAAAATCAATATTAAAATTTTAGTAGAAAAATTTTTTGTAAAGACAGTTTCCCCACAGACCAGAAGACAAGAAGTCTCAGGCAGACATAAATTAGCAGGCTGCAGGAAATTCAATGTTTTGCTATTTCTAACATAATTTCTTGTGTAATCTCTCTTTTTACATATTGAAGAGCTGTTTGATACTTGTCAAAAATGGCATTCTCTTGCTTTTTAAAACTGTAAGATATGTGACTTTAGGTAATTATATTGAAATTATTCCTAAATAATAAATAGAATGAAATTTCTTTGTATCAGAATCTAATGTATATTTCTATTTTGAAGTGCGGCCCTGGACTATTATTTACAGGGCTGAGGTGGCCCACTGTACAAGTTGAGTTTGACATGCCTGATCTACACGGTCCAAGAGTAAGCCAAGCAACGTAACAAAAACTTTGATGCAGTTCGCAAACTTTTCCTCTTGCTTCATACCGGCCTCCTCTTTGACTAGTCTTCGACCCTGAATATGGAGGCGACATATTGCTCCGAAATGTCGTTGTGTTCTTCGAAATACGTGCAACCCATAAGACAATACTCCTCATAGCGAACGCTGTGAGAATCAGAGTTCCCGCACTCTTATATTGTACTTGATTTCGTTATCTTAATATTCCCCCTCCCCGGTGCAGATGTAAGGTCTCCTCGGACATGTTGTGCAGTTGATACAGCATAATTCTCTATAATGCCAACTGAGGAAGCATGTGTTGGGGTATTATGTCTACCATTATCAGTTTTACGCTCCCGTAAACCCATTTAATGACTACGTCCACAACGAAACTGGGAACAGGATGGATCCCGCTAATTCCAGACTGCACGGGACCAGCAGAGTTTTCACCACCCATAACCGCCAGGAAACTGGAATTATAACTGGATAACTATAAATATTCACTTACTAAGACAGAGCAACTAATCACAGTGGCCGCGCAGTCTAAGGTATGAACCATCTTCGTGGGTTTGAATCCCAATCGAGGCATGAATGTCTGTGTGCGTTTACTCTGTTTGTGTTGTTCTGTGTGTAGGTAGCGGCCTTGCGACGGGCTTATCCCCAGTCCAAGGAGTCCTATCAACTGTGTGTAGGATTAAGACACTGAAAAAGCGGCCAAGGTCCAAAGGGTCATAAAGACCGAAAAAGACAGACCAAGTAGATGTGGAGGTTGCAGTACAGACTTGTATTCGGGAGGTATCCGCTTCGAATTTTAGTCTAGTTACCAGGTACTCAGACTGATACTTTCGTGGTTTTTGTCAGTTTTCGTACAAATTTCGGAACCATACAGAGATTTTTATAGACAGCACTGACTTGAAGCGAAATTTTGCATTATTTTTCGGTTTGAATTGATGGGAGGACCTTCCGACTCTTCCGCGCAGTCTTATTATCACTGTGAAGAAAGTCGTCTTCTGGGTTTAGGCGCCGTGTATTCTTCGCTTTGGCCGACCTTTCGGAGGAACGTATCGCCTCCATCTTCAGAGCAGGTGAATGGCTTGGAATGCAGAGATTCCTGGATCCACTGGCCGTTCCCCCCGTTTCCCTTAGCACATAACACCATATATGGCCTTAATCGCTCTCCACTGCTCCTATTGGTCCGCTCTCCCTAACCACCCCCCCCCGCCTACTTCGTATATAAGCAGCGCCTTTCACTTCCTATCACTACAGCTACTGCTCTCTGCATTCCAAGCCATTCACCTGCTCTGAATATGGAGGCGATACGTTCCTCCGAAACGTCGGCCAAAGCGAAGAATACACGGCGCCTAAACCCAGAAGACGACTTTCTTCATAGTCATCGCCGTGAAAACCTCAAAACTTACATATTATTATCACTGTACTTCGAGGCGGATCACAACCGTCCTCTTCCAAATCTTTATACATTTACCATTTATGATCATCCCAACCCATTGAATTCTGTTGAACATATGCAGTAGAGACAGGAAAGTAAATTGGACTGATAATGGTGTATCTAAACTCTAGAAAGTTGAATGTCATATGATTTGATTCTGTGATTGTACACGAGAGTCGAGCGCGCTAACGAAGAGCTAAATTGCATTTTATTGTTGGGTTATAAATTTCCATTACTGTCACATAAATAAGACATTAGCACAAGGTCTTTATGAGTCTGTATGAAAATACGCTCCATGTCTTCCAGCAGTAACTCATTTTGCACACATGCCGTAAAAGGGCTTAAGGAAAATATCTGCAGAATAGAAGGGTCATGGAGTTGTTAGAATGACTCTGCCAGGTGGTACCCCAGTCAGGTACAGAACAGATATCCCAGTTTCCATAACTTCCGGACTCAAGATTATTCAGGCCGTCTACCTGCTTTTCTTCAAGTATAAAATTATTCGAGATATTTTGAACCAATTTTCTTACAAGTTTATAATTTCAGAATTTTATGATGTTTGTTGGTAGATTTCAGTTTTGGAAAACTTCAAAATAAATAAAGGAAACTATACACAAAGGCCGTACGGGAGTTTTATGCGAAACTCTAGTACGACTCGTTAAATGTCCATTGGAGTGATAAATGTTTGGAATTAGCGCTGCAGACAAAATGAAATAAGTCGTTTTATTCCAGTTTTTTCGCCATAACTGTTGCGGTTTTCGGGATAATTAATCACTTAAACAACAGTTCCACTGCAACCCAAAATTCCATAAAGCTCAAATTAAATTTGACAATTTTTTACAAAACATGCTCGATATACAAAAAGAACAGGGACATGACACGAAAGAGAGATCTCATTAAACTTTATAACTTTTATTTGAAGTGACTTCTATTCAATGATATACAAGAGAGAAAATGTTTTTGTGCACTAAAATATATCAAGTGTTCGTGAAGTTTATGGACTTCAGAACATGCTGCTAGTGTTTATAATGCTGACAGCTAAAATGTATTTGGCAATAAATAAATATAATTGTATGTGTTGTGGTAATAGTGGTTACTAACAAATTATGAATAATAATAATAGAAAATGTGGGAGCCTTGACACCTCACAACTGTATGGGCTCTCACGGCATGTTACTGGGATAGCTTTATCTTTTTTTACCTACATGCACACACACACACACACACACACACACCAATATGAAACCTGTAGTTCCAACTAGATTCACTGTCACTGAAGTTTGCACGTTTGCAGAATGCGGTGCGTAATTTTTTGTCTGCAGTGGAGCCAGAAGAAAGCGTAGCATTCCCCTCTCTTGTTTATTGCTTCAACGGACGTCACGACGTTCGTTATAACGGACGCATTTTGTGCGCTCGTATGGCCCCAGCCTTTTAGCAGTAAACAGTAGCGTACCGTATTTACGCATGTATAGGCCGCGTGCGTGTATAGGCCGCAGCACAATTTTCAGACAGAAATTATAGAAAAAATAATTTTCTTGGAATATTATTTCAGGACTAGAACATCCTGTATTACTAATTATGAATATATTTTTTTTTAAATGAAGTGTGATTTCGAATATTTCGAATATAAGCCGCACCCCAGTTTTCCTCTTGAATNCCCCCCCTTGAACTACCTGCATCTAGCTCCTCAACATCACAGTCTTTTCGCTGTCGAAATAGTCTCTACAGAAATAACATCCGCCTCTTATCATTATTGTTATTATTGAAAAGATGGTTTATTGTTAGAAACACCGCATTAATATTCAGCACCGAGTTTCATTTCGCCCGCCTCTACACTGCTGTATGAATTGATTTATCGGCTGGAATTATTATTTCCCACCCTCTCTTCCAACGTAGCTAGACGCCGAATATAAAAGAACTTTATTTCTTTCATGGCTGCACAATAGTGATAAAACGTGTGAAAATCTACCCCTTCCTCTCTCAAAATTTTCCACCCATTATTATTTATTAGAAGTATAAAGTAAATGAATTAGGTCCATGATTCATTATTTTAATATATATCTTCACTCTTTTTCCTTCCTTACAATTCTCCGTCGCCATGTTTCCTCATCTTCTGTCTTGTGTAAAAAATGGTGTTTGTATGAATTGTTGCAGTAATGGATGTGGCAGAGGAAACAACCCCCTTCCCCCTCCCAGAAGATGGCGGTTGGAGACCTGTTGGGTGAGAGTGATTTAAAGTAGCAAATCATTACTTTTTTTTAATAACTCTGACAGAGTTAAAAAAATGTCTCTAGTTGAAGCTGGATCGCTTCCTTAGTGAAAAGAGCTCTGGGTTATTACTGGTAGATCATGACAAGTGGGGATGTCATAAAGCCATTTCATTTCCAGCGTTGAAATGGGAATCTCAATGCGACAGTACATGATACTCTTACAAGCACAAGAACTTAATACGACTGCCTATTAATATCTATTATGATGACGTATAGGTTTATTCTTACAGCTTATGTACAGCTGACTTTTGCCACACGGATATTAAACCGTGATACATCTAAAGAAGTGAAGCATTTAAGTCTTTAGTATCGAAATATATTTCGGAGTTACTTTGAGCTTTTAAATTTTTAATCCGGTTATCATCTGATTTTCTAGTATATAGAGATTTGTTTCTAGGATAGCACATTTATAATTAGATTGATCAAGTGACGAAGGATGAGGTGGGCAGGGCATGTAGCACGAATGGGGGAGACGAGGAATACATATACGATATTGGTGGGAAATCCCGAAGGAAAGGGACCACTGGGAAGACCAAGGCGTAGGTGGGTGAACAATATTAAAATTGATCTTAAAGACATAGGATGGGATGGTATAGATTGGATTGATCTGGTTCAGGAAGGGGACCAGTGGAGGGTTCTTGTGAACACGGTAATGAGCTGGGAAATTCTTGAGTAGCTGCAGATTTTGCGGCTCCTCAAGGAGGGCTCAGCTCCATGAGTAAGTAAGTAAATATATTACTATACCAGGCAAACATTTGCCCATTCTACATGTCTTTCCAATTAATGTTTTATTACCTTGTTTATGCCACATAAACGAAGAGCCTTCATAATGTGAGCCACAAAGAAGGTACTGGAAGGTTTGGTTTAGGGGATCCTATGATATGCTTAAGCTGTTAGTCTTCAGGTAATTAATGTTATGGTAATGGTAAAAGCTTTCTTAATTAACATTGTGTCTTATCCTTTCTAACACCTAAATCAGATCCATGCCCTATGTTTCCCCACAACCTTCGACAACCTACATGTAATCCCTTCATTGTAGGGGTAGATTGGATTGCTCGCCTTCTACGAGTGTGAGGTTGTTCGTTACATTGCTCTCATCACATAATTGTGATCCAACTTCGTGATCTAAGCCCTTCCCGAAACGTCCATAGTAGCTCAAACATCGAAAAAAAAAATCACATCCTTTATGGAGCTAAAAGACGCGCTACCGTGAAAATTATTACTTTCTGGGACATGACGAAGTGCACCGCTGTCATATCCCTCAAGATATCACTCTCTGTTGTCCACGCCGCGAGCCCCTATAATCTGACATTCGTTAGCGTAATGTTAGGAGCCCACCACTGGACGCTGTTCTCAGCATTTGAATCCAGTCTACATCCTTACACCGCATTTAATATACGTTATAATAGAGTCTTCTCAGCTTTCAGCTAATATTCCAAGTGGTCTCTCATTTCATATTGTCACGTTTTAGGATTGTGACTATTAGACGGGGTTCAAATTGAATTTATTGAACATTTATACACAGAACTCGGAAGTACACGTAATTACAGCCTTGGCACTAACCTGTGCGCGCGCGCACACACACACACACACACACCACACATACACACATACACACACTAGTGTCATGTAGAGCCCCCTGGACTTTTCTTAAGGCGAACCTTGCAACCCTCATTCCTTTCCATCCATTTAAGTCACTCTCGAGCAAAACTTTCTTACTTTTTTATGCCTTCACCATGAAGTTGATTTTCTTTTTTAAATTCTGCCATATTCCGATCAGTCTTCCAATTCCCACCTGACGTGCCAGTTTATACTATTCCTACAGAAAACATCTGCTTATAATGTAACTTCAGAACAGGAAACTGAATTTAAGTAGCCGGAAACGAAACTGCCAAACGCCTGTACATTATGCACGTACTCGGAAACGTAGTGGCACACAACAGTAGTTCTTGTACACTTCAACTACAGAGCCGCGTTTACCCTAAGAGGTAATTTTCATAGGTTCTAACAAGTTTTGATATGTAGAATCTAAAGGGTTCTGACGATGGTGGATGACACACAGAATTACTGGGGTTTTGGCCTTTTTCCATTGTCCGGAATATTAGGTAATAGAGGACACCACGTTTCGGAAACTGGATCCGTTTCCTTCTTCAAGTGATAAAGGAAGACACCTACTCAGTTGGGTCCCTTAGAAAGAGTGATTGAGATTAGCTCTTTCTAAGGGGCCCAACTGAGTAGGTGTCTTCTTTTCTCACCTGAAAACGGAAAAGGATCCATTTTCCGGAACGTCGTGTTCTCTATTACCTAATATTCCGGACGATTGAAAGAGTCCAAAACCCCAGTAATTCTGTGTACCTTTCGATATGGTGACTAACAGCACGGAGCGGAGTATTTATTGAGAAGGGAACAGTCATTCATTGGTCAACCAATTCTCCAACTTTTATGGAGCCTCTCCCAAAATACTGAGTACTTCATCGTATTACCTGTGTATTAGCAGCAGGCAGGGCCGGATTAAAGGGAAAGCGACCGGGGATATGGCCCTGGGGTCTACGTAACCGAAATACAATCCACATATTTTATTAAAATATTTGTTTTTCTAAAATTACGAATAGTTAGTTCATACTTTAAGTTGTTACAACAGCTGAGAAAATGTAACATTAACTTAACCTAAATTCTTTGTTACCGAAAGGGGTCTCCACATTTCGAATCGCCCAGGGAATTTCGGCCTTGGGGACAGATTCGATTTTGATTACGTGACAATCGCTAAGGTGGTCAATAAATTCCTCGTCTCATATGGTAAACATAGTTGAGAATTATCTCATTTGAATCTTCTATATATGTTGTTCCTTTTGAGAAGTTAATAGTCATCACTCTGGTCAAGATATATATCATCATCATCATCATCATCATCATCATCATCATCATCAGTAATCTGTCAGACGACAGGTCCACAGTCTCTTCCAAAACAATTCCTCCACTTAACGCGATCTAGAGCTTTCTCCTTCAAATGACAGTATCCTCTTCTGCCCCCAAGGTCATCCAGCATCTTCGTACGTCTTCTTCCTCGTCTTCTTGTCATGTCTATCCGCCCCTCTATCTTTCCTTCAATAACTTCTTTTAAAAGGCAGTTTCTGCGTAAAACATGACCAATCCAATTAGCCTTCCATTTTCTTATTTCGTGTAGGATATTCATCTGGTCACTGACTCTAATTAACACTTCTTCATTTCTCACATAATCGGTCCAACTGATCTTCTCCATCCTTCTCCAGCACCACATTTCGAAACTTTCCAGGTGTTTCTCATCTACTGCCCTAAGTGTCCAAGTTTCAGCCCCATACAAAGCGATGCTCCAAATGTAGCATTTCACTAGTTTCTTCCTCAAATTTAAGCCCAATTTGCTGGTAAAAAGAATCTTCTTCTTGCTAAATGTAGCTTTTGCCATGACAATCCTAGATTTAAATTCACACGTACACATAGGGAAGAAATTATTTTACTTTTCTCGCGAAATATCCATAGTGTCAGTCCTGTTACATTACTGTCGAGGTGAGTACACAGCTGCAGAATCAAAGTGTGACAGAGGTCCACTCACAAGGGACAAAAGACTGAAAGAAAGTTTAGGAGAGCGGGAACTGTGATAGTAAATTTATTTCCTCCGTTGCTGTCTGAGAAGAGAAAAAGGTTGTTCATGGAAGAAATAAAAAGGAAATGGAGAGAGAGAAGTGTTCTGAGAAGTAGATTTATGTCCCGATTTACAGAAGTGACGAGGGTTGGGGAAGCTTCTTGAAGAAGGGACATCATATCCACGAAAGTTCTGGACAATGGTGCAGAAGAGTGTAGATTGACATTCGTGAGAAAATTTCCACCTAAACAGCCGGTCGGACAAAGCAGTAAATTTAACTTAAATATATCCTCTTATGAAAACGTGTCTGCAGCAGCGCATTGTGTGCACAGCAAGGCGAACCTTTAGTTCAGAGTTTACCACGAGTGCGACAAACACGCGTGGATGTGAAGAAGACACAACTGATGGCCACTGACTGTAAGAGTCAGAAGGAAGGAAGGAAGGAAGGAAGGAAGTGATATTTTATAATTTACGAATATATGGGATAACAGACTTTTAATTTTTTAATATTAGAGAATAATTATGAATGAAATACTTATGCCTAAACACAACGAGAGAATTATTATTATTATAATAGAAATTACTAGAACATATAGAAAAAATGTCTGAACCATTCACCGCCAAGTCTCTCTGTAGATACAAACTGGAAGTAAGAAGATGCCAAAATATGCAACAAAATATTTTCCATCCTTACAGCCGAAGCACGTCAGAGCTTAATCCACAATTTTGTTTTTGATGTTAATAATAATTATGATGATATGAAGATATCGAAGAACGGAATCTTGAAGTTTACAAGTACATGTGTAACGACAAGATTCTATCGCCCTAATGTACAAATTATGAAGCCCCATTTGTACTGTCTTCCCTATCAAATTAGTAATTTGAAATCAGTCATGTCCTTGCTTCTGATACCACATAAATAACTCGCAAACTAGAACATCTGATGTACAAATTTACATTCCTGTTCTATATACATGTAAAAAGTAAAACTATCCCTGTAACAGACCGTGAAGGCCCATAAGGCTGTGAGACGTTGAGGGCCCCACATTATCTAGACAATCGGCTCAAAGGTTGTCAGCCTGATGCGCCGGCCGCGCTTTACTCCCCAGGAAAATTATTTAATTAATTCCCGGTACTCATTTCTGTTAGAGGCTGAGTCGTCCCCAGGGCCTAGTGCGGCCGGAAGGATTAGGCCAACTGAAAAAATCCAATGACCACATCGGGACTTGAACCCGCGACCTTCCGGCTTGTAGCCCCTAAACCACTACGCTACCGCGTGCCCCATATACATGTATTTTCCTAAATTAATATCGCAAAACATATAACTCGTTG